ACTGGCCCCGTTGTTTCTCCGGTCGGGCCACAAAATGGAATCATGCCGGTGGGTCCCTGGATTGCAAGTCCAATCTGCTTAGCCATTGCATTACGGCAGCATCCTAGGCATGTCATGATCCATCAATCAAAAATCAATTCTCACACTCACGATAATTGCATCGAATCGCGCGTGTAAGAATCGTGATTTGAGCAAATGACAGTGTATGCAAATTACTGTACGGTTTCTGCAAATGTTATCCTTTTGGCTTATTGAAGGAACGAGACAAAACGAGACAAAAAAACATTCGACACAATTCAAAGGAGACGAAAAAAAACTATTCACAACAATTGAATTGTGGTCGACATTGTGACGCAGAATCATGTAAATCCATCAAACTGGGAGGTGGATTGTCACGTGCATTCTTGCCATGGAGTTAGAACTGGCGACTATTTGATTATATGGATTCATTGGATGCGAATTGCGATCGACTACTGTTGCGCGGTCGATTACTCGGGCCCATTTGATAGTACTCCTCTCCAAGGCTGGAAACCCCCTTTAAGCCACGCCCAGCGTGACGTTGATGATACTGATGACGTCACGATGCCCAGTCCATCACCTCCCACCCAGCGGCACAAGTGCAACTGAGATCGGACCTCTTCGTGCAATGACAGTTTTTATTTTTGTTTTATCCAATGAGTCGAGCGATCAAATGGATAGCCCAGTTCTACATGGAATGATTTTACTCCTCCTCGGATTCGAGGAATTCTCACGATTTTGGGTCACAAATGATGAAATGCTCTCATTTTCATAACATCGCGTTGAATGCACCTGCAGTGGCTGCACACGGGCTATGCGAGTTAAAAATAATTCTTGCACAAGGAGACGCATTGTATATCGTGAGCTTACATTGTTTTAAGTCAGTGCTGCATGTCCAATACCCATGCTAAAAGCAAACCCTTTAATTCTTATACCATTACAATTATAGTTTACAGCTCCCAAGTTAATCAACTGTTGAATTTAGGCCTCCTCATACCGTGCCAGTATGTGGGGGTTGTACGATCATTCTTCACCATTGTGGTGAGTGAAGGTCGGTAAAGGAAAGTGCCAAGGACCGGTTTGGATGGCACTCGCCACTGATGTTACCTGTGGCCTGGAAACACAACAACCACTAAGCTATCGCTCCACCATGAGAGTTAATTATTTGACTACTTTGATTACAATTAAGAGTCATTCCAAACCAAATTCACTCTCCTCCGGTATTCATGGCATTTTATCGAAGCCTCAGTCGAACTCTGGTCAGTGATTGTCGCTTTTTCTCCTCTGTTGTCCCCGTAATCTGGAACGTCCCTCCGCCATCCATCAGCGCTGTCGACTCCCTGCCCCTGTACAAGTCCAGGCCAGAGACGTTCCTCTTTTCCTCATCACATTCGAGGTAATGAACTGAATTAATTGGGTCAGAAAGTAAACACCAAATGTTTAATGGAGGGGCCAGGGAACCTCTTCCATGTCCACCTATTCCAAGTCACTTGTCACTGCAAGATACCCTCGCCAATGGCAGAAGTGACTTTGTGCGTGCGAAAATTAGTAAACGCGTTGTTGCTGGGTCAAAAATATTCCCTTACGGTACCCTGATTCGTGCGACTAAAGAGGCATCTAGTGACTTAAACATTTAATTTTGGCTCTAACCGCATCATAATAATTCAGGCAATTATGCACATTAACAATTTTAATGACGACACGTTAGAAATTGTACATATTTTTAACGATGCGTAGTCTACATTCAGGGGGAATGCAAAGGTAAGCGCGATCTGTTTTAACATACCCCTTTGATTTAATATCTATCTTGCTGATCTCGTCAAGGTCATCATCGCGGCAGCTTCTGGCTGGGCATCGAACAAAGATGGTCACTGCATCGCGCGTTTTCAGATGCGCTTCTGCGGTCGTCTGGAACGCTCTTCATTCCGATATGAGGAAGCCACTGGAGCTACGCACGTTTAAATAATCTAGATTGAAACAATTTCTTTAGAACTACTTTTCGTGTTTAGTTTGTTGTCCTTCCCCCACACCTCCGATAAGCACGGTTGGCTATGTACGGTGCGAAAGAAATTCAACATACGTACACACATTGATTTTAAACGCCCCTTTCTTCTCAATTGGCGATTAAATACTGTGCGAGTGATGGCTCCGTGTCTTACAAAACAGACAGAGGTGGTCGTATGGATGGAGACTCACGGATCTGTGCTCACATGCACACACAGCGTGCAAATTCTGGGAGAAGTCACAGCACATGCCACCGCAAAGGAAAACGACACTCCACCCCAGCACGCACGGCCTGCCTGCTGATCAACTGTGGGTTGTACTTGTTTGTGCTGCTGGGCGGACAGAGGTTGCGTTGATACGAGAAACTTGTCATGCCAGGAGATCGAACCGGCGGACTCTGAGATTGCAAGTCCTCACGCATCAACCTTGTGAATTGGCTCCAAAGTTGATGGTAGCTTGTGTGTGCATGTGGGCCAGAAGCTGGGATTTGAGGGGGGAGGGGGGAACAACCCCTTATTGTTTGAGGAAATGCTGTCATCAGCTAGGTTTCCATCAATCATTATGAATGCCCACTTATTTTGATGAGTTATCCGTTTAACACGAACCCCAAAGATCTTTGAGGGGGCCCAGAGACAAAATACAGTGTAAACACCAACTTAAATAATGTGTTGAATGGTGGAATAACAAAACAACAACCCCATTGAATTGCTTAGAACGTTTGTCTTTTTTTGGCATAAAAATACTGTCGTATATATACACACATCTTACTTTCAACTAACGCGTACTCATTTAATAGAAAACCATTTAAATACATCGTTTGATCGTTTGATTTTGTGCCAATAACCTCTAAGAGAAGAACACGACCAGTGTGCTTCCCTAGAGTTACACTACGACTACTCTGTGATGGTGGACACAAACTAAAATAAGTAATAATGGGCGAATGTCAATAATATAATCTGGATGTGACTGACCAAAGAGATTCACAATATATATTTTGCAAAAGATGTCTAATTTTCATATTTACATAGGCACAGTAAATGTATAGTTTTTTTCGTACGACATCCGTTGTTTGGGAATTTTATAATTTGTTTGGATTCTCCGCCGTTTAAGTTATCCAACGCTGGCACACACTCTTGCAGATAATGTTTTGTTGGGTCTTTAATGTCCACCTTTCAGCAGACCGTGTACTTTGGTAATTCCCTGCAGAAGTAACTTAGAAGTAGGGATATGCTTCCAATTTAGTTTAATCCTCAAAATACCAATCTGGAAATCAGACCGAGATGCAAAATTTAGGGTGGTCCATTTTTCTTTCGGATTCATCTGAAAGTATGATGCCACAGGAAATGACGTCTTAACAGTATGTCACTTCCCCTTTTGTCCCCGCTAAAAGTGGCAACAATGCCACGTGATGCCGCTTTCGTTTCGCTCAAGCACGGTTTCCACTATTACAAAATGGAAATGATCAGAAAATATTGAATTTTTATATCCAAAACCCATCCCTACTCTGCTAAGGTTGACGAGAATGGGCATATTAACAACTCTTACTCAGAGCCACTAGTCTTAGAATCAATTGTGAAAATGAGTTGGCCCGTCATTTCTAAATGGAGAGAGGGGGTCTCCACCATGGTTACAAATACAACCTCGGAAACCAGAAGCTCTTATTTTAATAGGAGCACACAGGATGTATGCGCCGGGCTGTCTGTTTTGAGTTTTATAAGCTTCATTCACAGGGGGGGGGGGGGGGAGGAATTGAAAGTGGCATTCACGTGACTCACACTGCTTTTAAATTTGTCCAAGATAACAGCGCGCAAGTGCATTATGGAAGCCAACATGACAGGATAGCATTCATGTCAACCCATACGGTTTACCCGTATTCTTGTACAAGGAAATTGAATGAAAGTATGTTTTTGTCTATTTATTTGTGTTTCTCCCTTGTGGTGGGACTTTGTAGGATGAACGTCGACAATCATAAGGGCACGGGGTGACCAATAAGGTCTGAATTGGTCTGTAATAAGATATGGGACAGCCAGATCAAAACGAGAGGTGCACTGGGAGGTCGGTATGAAATTGCACGTGCACCCATCGGGTTTCAAATAATCTACCGTATACTAATCTGGGTCCAAATTCAACGTGGTCAAAATAATATCTCACGCTAGCACGACTGCTATATTCAGGAGTGGGGCACTGTGGGAGCCGGGACGCATGAAGCCAATGCAGGTCTGCTGGCACAAACGCATCTTAAATATGGGACAAAGAAACTGCTCCAATGTTAAATGGAACCAATTGGTACTTTCATCTGGTGACAGCCCATTGCAAGAGGGAACTTAGCAATTTTAATAATGCTGCAGAAATATATATACACAGTAGTCCCTTGGTTAACGTTTTTAATCCGTTCCACAGAAACTACTGTTCACCGAAATGACTGTTAATCTAATTCAATTATAAGTGTTTCCACTGCCAAAATAGTGTTTCCACTGCTAAAAACAGAAAACATGTTAAGCATAAAGCCATTCGAGGTCTAAACGCTTGCAAATGAGAGTTGCTAATTGGCTGAGGGCATGGCTCAGCCCTAACTTAGGAGCGCTGGAATTGGCAAAAATTGGCGTGCACAACATAAACACGTTACCGTTACATGAAAGTGTTAACGTCAGTTCAAACCACGGGGATTCTCTGTGGGAAGCGAAACGTTCACCGCAAAAAACGTTAACCGATGTCACTGTTAACTGAGGGACTACTGTATATAATTTAATTTCTTATAACTTTCACATTTGGGATTTGGGCTTAATGCATGAGCACACAAATAGCCCGTCCTTATGAACGATCACCCCTGTCTTTTTGTTGTTGTTTAACGTCCACATTACAGCAGACGGCCTGCTTTGGTAATTTCACGCAGAAAAATGGCCAACCGGATGTGGTAATCAGGCTACGACGTATATGTTCTCTTTGTTTCGTTTACACCGGGGAACACGATGGGGGGGGGGGGGGGGGGGGGGGGGCGGGAGGGGCGTCGTTTTCGAATGGAAAACGCAAACGTTTTGCACGCGCAAGCAGCGTTGTCCTCGTCCCGTTTTACTTTTAGGCTCCTTACGACTGCTCAGTGTGGCCCGCTTCACACAAGCAAGTCGTCCTCTTGTTACTCAGCAAAGAGACCAACGATAAGGTCGCCGCTGACCCCCCCCCCACCCGCGTCCTCTGTCGTTGTACGTCAATCACACGCACACCGCCCTAAGTGAGAGACTTTCGCCACCTCCTCCCCCACGAACCCACAGCTCCAAGGGCTATAACCTGACGTCTTTCTCCTCCAAGTCCATCTCGTCGTTGTCGGACGGCTGTGGGATCTCCAGGTTGAACTTTTCACTGAGCTGCTGGATAATGGCGGCGAGGTCCTCGGCATTCTGGGACTTTTCCTCCAGGAGCTCATAGCGCAGGCTAGAGATGTCCTGCTTGATGTCCTTGAGCTCTCCTGCAAGTGACACGCGGGCACATACATAAAGATTTCCCGTGTGGCCTGAACATATGATTGGTGCAAGTGCTGTTAGCGAGTAGCACCTATAAAGGCCAGCAATGCACATGAGGGGGCGAGTGGGTGGTAAGCATCACGCCCGGTCGCCTTTGTCTCCCCAGTGGCGATGTTTTACACACCGCTCTAGGTACTAATTTGAGGCTGAGTCGACCTAGGGGAGGCCCAGGAACGGTTCAGATAATCGTCACAGATGTTGGCCGTGAGCAGGAATCCAATTCGGGTGGCCGAGTTTGTAGCGCAGCGCGCTAACCACTTCACTACCGCTCCCCATGTGTGATGTGTCGCACAATGACCTCACACGCAATGCCAGGGCGAATCCTTTTTGGCGCAAATTTTACGTCTCTCAAGTGTTGGGAAACCCTCTTTAATCAATGGGGAAAATCCCTGATAGCAACACAACTTTGCACTCAAGTTGAACTCCCCATTGGTTTACATTTACATAACTTATTGTGCCCCCCACCCGCATTTTGGATGGACAGACCAGACGGAGATTGCTAATCAGTGCTTTCATCCTCGGTTCGAAAGCGCCACAGTTGGTTCATACTATTTAAATTTACGTTGATTAAAAACGTCATCATCGTCGTCGTCATTGTGAGCAATAATCGTCATCACCATCAGCAACATCAGTAATTTCAAAAAAGTGTTTTTAATTGAATGTGGCCGTTACCTTCGTTGACCTCGTCGTTCTCCTTGTCGAACTGGGCTTTCAAGACGTACCTCTTGATGAGCCGTTTCATGATTTGCTGCGGAACAGCGTGACAGAAACGGTGACCGCGAGCAAGCATTGCGCGGTGCCTGATACTGCAATGCCATTGTAATTGTGCTGTCGTGCTGAGATAATATATGAGCATATCAGAATCAGCAGATTTATTTATACTGGAGGAATCTGATTAACTATAAAGCTATTTTTCACAGATGTCCAGTAGGGGTGGGTAAGAACGTTACAACAACAAACAGCTCAATAACACTAGAGTAGTGCAAAGTACAAGAAAGGTAAGCAAATCACCAAAAAATATACAAATACAACTAAACCATCCCCATCCTACCAGGCAACGCCCAGTCAGGTATTAACTTATTTTTCAGAAGCTACCTGTTCACAAATGATAACTCAACAAAGTGGCCCATCATTTGGACATTTATAGCAGCCAAAATAAACGAAATAAGCCACATGCATGTTTATAAATGTGGAGGGGAAAAAACCGGAGGACTTTTCATTAAAAAAAAAATCAGGATGAACAAGTCACCCCCGAATGGATCCGATCTATTGCAAGAGACACCTGTGTGGGGGCATCGCTCTGCCAGTGGAGGGACAATGATCGCCAGCTATGGGTGGAGAATATTCCCGGTTGAGTAATCAGCGGCGACATTAAGTTTAGACCTTGACACACCGCCGGCGCACAATGGCCTACTCTTGCCAATGACATCATGGGACCTTTGACATCCAATTTGTAGCAGACAGTCGGGCGTGGTATCCTGTGCCCGCACCCGCAGTATTAACCAGGGCGGTCCTTGGACTCACACCGTGAACCTCTGCGACGAGCCACCGCTCAACCACGCCGCTGCCCCGATATCTCGTAAAGCTCAGCGGGCTTGAGCCTGGTTAGTACCTGAACGGGAGCAGTGGCTAGGAGATGTTAACTCCCTTGCCTGGTATGCAGGATAATCCTGGGTTCTCTCCTGACTCTGATTCCTGGTGTATATTTGGAGTTTCCGTGTCTCTGTCTCTCCCCGAGGTCCCATGGATTTTTCTCCAGAGCTTCCGGTTTTTCGCTCCACAATTTAGAATCATGCATTTAGAGTATTTGGCTGCTATAAATATCCACGTGATAGTCCCTCTTTGTTGAGCTATCACCTGTGGCCAGGTCGCTTCTGAAAAAGAGCTATACAGCTCAGTGGACCTTACCTGGTAAAAGTAAAATTAGTTTAGTTTAGGGAGACTAACTGATAAATAACCAGTGGGCTGCTGAGTGGCCAGGAGATGGCCGTATCGGGATGGATGCTTGACTACCTGTGGGACGAAGCTCTCAGTCTCACCCTCCTTTGTGTACATGGGGTGTCTCTTGCGTTTTATATCAAAAACGTTTAAGCGTTTAAAAAAAGAGAAGAAAAACACCATCCGTACCAAACCATGGCATCATGGTTTACCAGGTAAGGCCCCACCGAGCTATGTAGCTCTTTTGCAGGAGCGACCTGGCCACAAATGATAGCTCAACGAAGTGGTTTATCATGTGGAAATTGATAGCAGCCAAATACTCTAAACGTGTGATGTTGATTCTAAATTTGGAGGGAAAAACCGGAGGACCTGGAGGAAAATCCACGCAACCACGGGAAGAACATGCAAACTCCAAATACACAGGCGTCAGGGTCGGGATCGAACCCACGACCTCCTGTATACCAGGCGAGGGAATTAACATCTTGCCACCGTAGCGTTTCGTGTGGAGCAAGTGTGTGTTTACCTGGTAGCGGGTGGGATGCTGACCTATGCTGTTCATGCTTCGGTTCATGTTGCTCCTCAGGCTATACAGGTCCTGAGGAATGACATTTCGCACACACTCATGATAGCACAACCATTGACGCACAACCTGTCGACAGTAGCCGTAGACAATTTGATTGAAGCTGGACAGACCCAACGACGAGCTATGGAGCCCTTTAAAACACAGGGTGTCTGGCTCAAAAGACGGGTTTGCAATGGCGGAATACAACAGAGGAAGTTAGATCACTCATTAAATTAAATGATGAGAGATTAACTCAAAACAACGGAATGATGCATGCTTTGTATGTATGTCAAGATTATAACTGTATAGCCGTAGACCATTGTTGGAAATTTCTTTCCTTGCTTAGGACCAAGTCGGACTTTCAGACACCTTTGGCGGGCAACCAAAGACACAGATCCCCCGTGTAGCCTTTAGCAGACTGTTGGGGCAAGTGCTGTTAGCGAGCACCTATGAAGGCTGGAACGGTACACGGGGGGCGTGGGTGGCCAGCACCACGTCCGGCCGCCTTTGTCTCCCTAGTGGCGATGTTTACACACCACACCAGATACTCATTTTGAGGCTGAGTCGAGCTAGAGGAGGACCGGTTCAGATAATCGTCACTGGTGTTGGACGTGCGCGAGAATCGAACCCGGGTCGCCGAGTTCGTAGCACACTCCACTCACTTTTCTCACTTCAAGGGTGTTGCAAGGTCAAACATATTTCCCTCTGGTACCCGATTTTTGTGGCTAAGATGCTCGCAGTCACAGATGAGTTATATTTATTAGGAGAAGCAACTGGAGTTACTCTTTGGTTATTTCGGTAAAGTCACGTAGAAGAAAATAAATTAAATAATAGAATGCAACGTTTTGATTGCAACACAAGCAGTCGTAATCAGGTAAAACTAAATTTGAGAGAGAGACAAAACACAGACACGGAGACACACAAGCAGAGAGAGACAACACAGATACACACAGAGAGAGACACACAACATAGACACACAGAGACCCAATGCCTCTGTGTCGTGGCCTTAAATAGAGAGAGAGGGGGGGCAGAGAGAGAGGTGGGTCTACTAAAGCAGAGAAATTACCATGTCAATGAGAGAGCTGTGTGGAAATCCACCCCGCGGCGGCAGGGGGAGAGAAAGACCCAGCAAGACTGGTAAATTTTAGAGAGAGTTGTGTGGAAATCCTCCTCAAAGCGGGTGGATTTCCACACAGTTAACGCATAGCCGGCTCTTTGAGTTGCATTGCATTACATTTCCAAAAATTAGCTAAGGTTGTTTTCTCAAACTGCCTATTTCTCTCTCTAAAATTTACCAGGCTCTCATAGGTCCATTCACTCTTTCTCTCCCCCGGCCGTTTCGGGGTGGATTTCCACACAACTCTCTCATTGACATGGTAATTTCTCTGCTCCAGCCGACCCACCTCTCTCTCTGCCCCCCCACCCTATCTCTCTATTTAAGGCCACGACACAGAGGCATTGGGTCTCTCTGTGTCCATGTTGTGTCTCTCTCTGTGTGTATCTGTGTTGTCTCTCTCTGCTTGTGTGTCTGTCTGTGTGTCTCCGTGTCTGCGTTTTGTCTCTCTCTCAAATTTAGTTCTACCTGATGACGACTGCTTGTGTTGCAATCGAAACGTCGTATTCTATTATTCAATCTATTTTCTTTCTATGTGACCTTACGGAAAGAACCAAAGAGTAGTTCCTGCAGTCAAGAAAGCTTTAAATCAAGCAACTGGAGCTATGCACTTTTAAATTAAGATTGAAAACAAAATTTCTTTATAAATGTGTTTGTGTGTGTTGTTGTCCTTCCCCCACACCTCCGATTTACACGGTCGGCTGTGTACAGTGTGAAATACGTTCAACATATAAGACCGAAACAGGAGGAATTCTCCACAATTCTGGCTGTCGCCTGATGATGCTGGTGGTCATTGTAATCACGGGCGAAACGTGACGGTACAGTAATCCCTCGCCACTTCGCGGTTCAAGTTTCGCGGCCTCAGTGCATCGCGGATTTTTCAAAAATATTCATCGAAAAATAAAAATTCAAAAATACCGCCATATCGGCAGCCGTATTGCGGAAAGCAGCGTTGTTTCATCGTGATGCGCGAGAGAAACGGTTTCCCAGGATGCCAGACAAAGAGAGAAACTCTCTCAGAGGCTTTGTACATACTGTACCCACGGGCACTCAGACAAGGCACGTGATTGGTTCCCGGAGCGAGATCGACGAATGAGAGCACGAGTGGATGTACAGCATCCCGTGAGCTGATTGGCTGCGCATCATCGCATCCTCTCCCATACGTATCGTATGAGAAAGAGAGAGTGAATGTATAATATTAAGGTTTTATAATTAAATAGATTTAAGTAAAATATGAGTGAGTGAATGTATAATATTAAGGTTTTATAATTAAATAGATTTAAGTAAAATATATATATATGAAGTATAAATATACATATTTTAAACATTCTGGTACCCACACACACATATACGGAAATTCCTAGGGGGGCCAATCCTACTTCGCGGATTTTCACCTATCGCGAGGGGTTCCGGTCCCCATTAACCACGATAAACGAGGGATCACTGTACTCCAACTGTAAACGTCGAGGTGGGTTTACTCTCCAACACACAACCGGTGTGTGGCTGTATTCGTAACAAAATGGCCACGTGTTGTTCACGTGACACAACCTTGCTAATTGGCTCTGGCGGGTGGTGGGGGCGGGCTTTGCAGCAGCACATCCGCACAGACGTGCAGTATTTGTCTGCTGCTGCTATAAGTGTCCAGAATGATGGCTTTAATCTAAGTTGTCTTGTGGTTGTTGTTGTTGTTTGTCTTACATCCCACTGGGATTTTTGCACAGCGTTGGTGTACGGTGCTTTTTTTTCTGGAAGACCTTGCAGTTTTTTCATGGATTTTTCTGTTTGTGCATAGTCACTTTAAGATGTTTTCTTGTTCATGTTTTTGTTTTTTGTTTGTTGTGGTTGCACCCGATTCAAAAGCCGAATGGCTCACAGGGCTATACCAAATACATTAAACTGAAAAAAAAACTGAAAACGTGACGATGATGAGCCTCTTTGTTGAGCTCTCATTTGTGATGGCCAGGGTCACTTCTGAAAAAAGAATTACAAAGTTGAGCGGGGCCTTACCTGGTAAAATAAAATAAAAATTTCAAATAGTTCAGTTCAAACGACACATGTTTATTTACGCGATCTAACCCCCTAAAAACTTCTATTTTGAATACAGGGACTCCTCTACTTACGAACATTAGACTTAAGAACTTTCAGAGATACGAACAAACCTGTTCCGTATGTCCAGTTGCAGCTGTTCGGACCGAGAATCGTAAGTTCAACCACCGCGCAATAGATGGCAATGGTTGCATCTACATCTGCAGAACCTGAAGAACCAACGGCATCTACAGGAGATTCGACAATTTTTGAAGCCATTCCCCGTGTATAGTGCACATGCCGTACAACACGTTAGGAATCGACAGGAGTAAAGTTGACTTGCAAAAAATCGACTTACAAACAGACCTTTGGAACCGAACTTGTTTGTTAGTAGAGGAGTGCCTGTACATAAATACATATGCGGGCTGTTCTGCAGTGTTGGGCTTCATGAGGCCGTGGGCCGGTTTGGAATGGAACCGCGTCCCTGCCCACAGGTTCACCCTTTATACCCCTCGTCAAATGAAATCACCAGTAATTGAGCAGCTCGAGAGAGAGCGAGAGATAATAACTCTCATTCGGATCAGAATTTACTCACGTACACTTCGAGTACATTTATACCGGACACCATCACAACCCTGGTGAAGTCGTACTTTCAGGATCTGCAGTTTTGCTTCACCACCTCAGAGTTCACCACCTCATGGCAATGCCTGAATGTAGGTATAATGGCGGGATGTACCATTTCTCCATTGGCATTCATAATGGCAATGGAGGTTATCATCAGATCCTCAAAATGGGTTGCTGGTGGACAGTGAGTCGACTCTGGTTTTCGCCTCTCTCCACTCAGAGCCTACATGGACGACATTACAACATTGACCACCACTGTCCCATGCACCAGGAGACTGCTCAGAAAACTCGAGGAGAACATCAGCTGGGCCCGTATGAAGATTAAACCATCCAAGTCACGCAGCATCTCGATTGTGAAGGGAGTACTCTGTGACCTGAAATTCTTCATCGGAGATGACCAAATACCAACAGTGTCTGAGCAGCCGGTAAAAAGCCTTGGAAGGTGGTATAATGCAAGCCTGAAGGACAAAGACCAGGTGCAACAGCTGCGCAAAGACATCAGTAGTAGCCTACAGTCCATCGACAACACCCAGTTACCTGGAAAGTTAAAGGCCTGGTGTCTGCAGTTTGGTCTCCTACCCCGGGTGTTGTGGCCCCTAGCAGTGTATGAGGTTCCAATCTCAATAGTGGAGAAGATGGAAAGAGGAGTCACGAGCTACTTAAAGAAGTGGCTCGGAGTTCCACGATGCCTTACCACCATAGGCCTCTATGGAGATGGTGTCCTCAAGCTGCCCCTCACCAGTCTAACCGAGGAATTCAAGTGTGCAAAAACCAGGCTCCAGATGACACTGAATGAATCTCGAGACCCAGTGGTGAGCAACAACGCGCTGACCTTGGGCGCAAATGGAGGCCAGGAAAAGCAGTCCAGGAGGCAACAGCAACAGCAGCCCTCAGACAGTGTGGGTCATGTTCAGCAAGGGAGAGGAGGCCTTGGGCTAACTAGCCGTGCTACTTGGAGTAAGGCCACTGCACCAGAGCGGCGGAAGATGGTAGTGCAGGAAGTATGCCATCAGGAGGAGGCTGCAAGGTGGGCCAAGGCAGTCTCTCTTGCCAAACAGGGACAGTGGACTCGATGGGACAGTGTGGAGAAGAGGAAGATCAGCTGGACGGATCTGTGGGCCATGGAAGCGAGGCGGTTGAGCTTTTCCATCAGAGCAACATATGACGTCCTTCCAACACCAGTTAATCTTCACCAATGGTATGGTGAAGATCCGGACTGTGCCCTCTGTTCCATGCCAGCCAACCTCAGGCACATTCTCACAGGGTGTAA